TAAATCATTGATCTTTCATATTAGGTATCTAACAATAAGCTAGTCAATTTAACTTGTGATACTACTGCGATAATTTAGTACAGTTTGCGTTTCAAAACCGAAAAATCATTTGGGTGCACAGTTTAAAGGACTAATATATACGTAGTATATAAATTCACACAGAATTATACAAGCACTTAAAATCTAGCTAGACCGTTAAAGGTGTTTATTCTTATTGGTTGTGTTCTCACATGTACGGTCAGATGAGATTTAACATCTAACAATAAGCCAAATTCTAAGAATTCAACATTGTTTTCAAAATTATTTTATACGCATAAAGTGTAAAATTTGTATATAAAATATCGTTTATATTTTAATTGTAGAAAAGAACTTTTTAATCTATGAGGACAGTTAGAAGAACTTACATGAAAAATAATAATTTAGTTAAATTAGAAAAATAAAATAACTTAGTTAACTGGATAGTTTACATTGCACGTGCAAACAATTTTGCTTAGAATTTTACGAGTGGATTTGTCATGACATGTTTACAAATTCTGTAGCACATTGAACTTTCTTTTATCGGTTTTTGTTAAATACGATTTTTTATTAAAAATTTTCACAACATTTTGCACAAGTGTATGCGTCTATATTTAGAACAGCAGCGTGTCATTTTGCAACCTTGCGGCGAGCAGCTTGGCATTTGTTAATTTCAAGTGTCGCGAGAGAATATACTTCCTCCTCGAAGAGCGAATGTATGATGATATAATTAGCAACAAGAATACCTATACATGTATAAATTCTTATGGAGGATCATATTATATCAATTTCTGCTCTACGATTTCTTGAATTAGTGTCCCTTCAATTAAAATTAAAACCTATATCCCAATTCTGAAATTTTTAATAACAATTTGGTATCGTTATACTACTGTTGCGCAGCTTTTTTACTAAATGTATATATAATACCTACGATAGTATATAACAATATTGACACTGTCATTAAGAATCGGGTATCTGTTTAAATCTCATCAACAATATTAACGACATTTACATGTACACTGATAATAAGAAAAAAAAATTGCTGTTTCTAAAAAATATTAGTCGATACAATTAAATGCAGCGGTCATGAGCTGTCGAGCAAATATTTGTTAATTTAAACAAATAAGAAGATTTTATTATATATATATATAAATACTTGAACTAAATAATAGCTACAAACTAAACGCATTTAGTAAAGTTAACAACTTTTTGTCAGTGTACCGACTCCCTAAAATGATCAAGCAAATGAATTACTATAAAAATGAAAAAAGTGATATAATTATTCTTTGTAACGGATGATAATTATGTCCTTTATATTGATGAAAATAAAACTAGGTATTCTATCAGTATAAAAGATATATAATATTAAAAAGTGAAAAAAATTCAGAATTCTCTACACGTATCGTATTAATCTAAAAAAATAGAAACAGTCAATAATATATCCGCTCGATTCTTCTAATATTGAAAGTGTTAACTTTCAATACTCAGACAGCATTGTTAAGTTTACATCTTTGTTTTATGGTTCGGCTTTTAATATGCGTGATATCCAGTCTTGAATAGATAGGTATACAGTCCTCGAGTTTTCCTGGTCATTACGAAAACTGATGGGCGAATTATCGCGGTGTATCGTCCAGAATAGCGCCGAGAAAAATAACGTATCGTATAAAATCTGATTGTGAGCGTGGTGTTTAGGATGATTAGGATGATGTCACGAGTTGTCAAGGCTTGAATCATTCTTGCAAGGTATTTAACTGCCCGATGACGTCAGACACGGGTGCTGTCAGGCGTCAATGCGTAAAACATAAATAACAATAGCATGTGTCTGTGTATAGATTATGCAAACTATTTTTACAGATAAATATTACTTACGCAATGGCTTACTTTATTTCAACATAAAGCGAGAATTTAATTCTCAAGAATCTTCAGTTATACGCAAGGTGTGCTTCAAGTTCTTCCGATGAAAAATAATAAAAATTCTTTTTAGAAAAGGTAAAAAGTGCATCTCCTGAGAGATACAATGTAAGAAACAATCGTTATCGCGACACGCAAGATCGAGTCTACGGTCGGTGACCGTGGTCGGGAACCGATTCCGAGCATCGTCCAGCTCACGTTTTCGTTTTCCTCTCGACGCCGCGCCGCTGCTTGATCCCCGTCGACTCGTTTTGGTCGATTACGCAACCGACAGGATATTGCACAAGATCATGACTCCCTCGATACGTACGTTTCGACGAGGCTTCGGCGTGAACGATCGTTTATACCTTTTTCGGAGGATTGGCAATTCTCATTCGTGAGTGGATTACTTTCGTGACCTATATTGAGGCAAGCGTCTTCTGAATACCAAAGAATATACGAGTCCACGCTTTGTTTGATAAATATAAGGACACATCTGACTAAAATGCAATTGAATGAATACTCGATAGATATTAATTCCAAATATGAATTGAGGATATTTTTTTACGTAACGGGAACGGATAAAATGTCGCTTAATTTCTCGGTCACTCAATTAATAACGTCCAAACACTCGTACGCGAGAGGTGTTCTGAACATAAGTGCTTGGCATCGCACATTCGACGCGCCTCGACATAAATTGCAATATCACAAGTATGCGCACCCATCAAAGCGAATAAATTCGAGCGTCGAATAGTGAGGAGAAGCGAATAAAGGTTAACACACTAAAGCATCCAGTATAGTTTATCGAGCATGCGTGCGCGCGAAAGTGCCACGGTGACCTATATATCGTGAAAAATAAATACTGCTTTAATTCTATTCGTAGTTGAACGCAATTTTTATCGGCGAATGACTCATCGCATTGCGCTCGAAATACTCGTGTCGGAATTTTATCGTGCAAATGACGAGCGATAGTACAGACGACGAGCTACCGCTCGCGATACGAATTCATCGGTAAAATATTATTATTGTTTTTATTAGAATTAAAATTGTTACTATATGTATAACGATATCACATCGACAGATTTAATTTATTTTAGCAAAGTAGAGGAAAGTTGCTGAATGGTGTCACTTTAAATATTTTTTATTATATTTTCCATTTGGTATTGATTTGTGCACAAATAAAGATTGGAAATTGTAGTTTTAGACATCTATTATTACATGTTTAACTTTTAAAATTAATTTGTTATAATTTAGAATACGCTATAAGAGTATTGTACGGTGGTTGTGAGACATCCTGTATATTGTGTGTGTATTTTATAACAAAATGAAAAATAATAAGAAATCTAAGTAAAAATATACTGAACAAGGGACTCTACACCGATGATCTTGACCTTGACACATATTATCAAGGTTACGTGATAATATGTGTCAAGGTCAAAATCATCGGAACAAGGTCCCTTTTTGGTATACTTACCAAAATCTACTTACCTCGATTTTAAAATACGGATGCCAGTCAGGATCTGAGAGACCACAATTTTTTATTAGTATACCGCACACAATTAAAATTTGCATTATACAGGTCCTGAGTAACCTCCGACAAGTTTTACGATCGACTAGTCGATCGTTGTCCGTTAAAAAATTATTTAAAAAATAATTTTTATTAAAGGAACGTAACTTTTAAACATAAAATGTATATGTCAATATATTTTACATATACTCTGCTATATAATTTACATAATGCTGTTCTTTTATGCCAAAACGGAATAAAGGAGATATTTCACGCGAAGCGAGGTCCACTTCATCTCCCTTTCCCCTGCCTAGAGGAAAGTCATTCGCCTCTGGGGATATACTATATAGTGGAAAGTCGAACGTCTCTAAACAGGGAGAAAAGGGGGTGGACCTCGCTTCGCGTGAAAAGTTGAACGTCCTTTGGCAAAGGGGAGGTGTGATGGACCTCGCTTCCGCAGAAAGTCGGATTCCTCTCTAAATATACTGTATCTATATATACCTATGTATATATAATAGCAAATTATTAGCGAATTCGATTGGACGCATTCAGTGCGCACTGGTGTACATTAAAACCATCGTATACTGGTTGACGTAAAAATATGTGTTTAATATAAATATAGAGAAACAGATTAAACCGCCAAATCTTCTCTCTCTATTCATTTTATTATATTATTAGAAAAAATGTGTATTTTATAATTCGAAATATTTGCATTTCACTTTTATACTAAAATAAAATCAGTATACAACGGTTTTAATATGCATCTATAGTGCGTACTAGTGCGCTCAATCAAATTCGCTATATGATCTTTAACATAATAAAAGTTAGTCAAATTTATTAAAATATTATATTTACGAACATTATATTCTTCTTATTAATTAATTTTATCATTAATTTTATATATATATACATATATGAATATATACATACATTACCCGTAATTTAAACTCTTAGGAAATCAGTTTAGAGAAAGGATTAAACTCTGTTAAATCTACAAAATTTATTTTAAATCGTATAAAAAGAGACTCCTGAAAGACTCCTTAATTAATCTTTTAATACAGTTTAATGGAAATTGAGAAACTGAGAAAATTTGTTTGATATTCAATATGTTAATCGTTACCTTCTAGCGCCAATCGGATTAGGCGCTTTACGTGAGAATCATACGTATGCGTGCATAAGAGACGTTTTCAAGGGAGGTTGCTGCACGCTCCTGGGGGGGTAGGACACGCGAGGAGGCGTGGCGATAAAAGCGGAAGTTAAATCGTTAAATTTTGCTTAGTTTTTTTCCATGAGTTTCGCAAGGCTGGCCTCGTGGAAAAATTGATTATTCGAGACCTGCCGATTTTCCAAATGCAAATGTCATTCGTCAACATTTTTGCAGTGTAGTAATTATTAAAAATACTATTTTGTTTAAAGTATCTGTATTTAGATATTAATATAAGAAAAATATAAGATAATGATAAAGAGAAATAAAAAATATAAGATAATATAAGGAAAATAAAAAAAACACATTTTACTAATTATAACGCCCGATTATAAATACCTCTTTCATCTTTATACTAACACAATATGCTTCTCTTAATTTCAGCGAAGGTAGAGAAAAAGTACGTGTCTCGTTGTTAGGTCCACAACCATCGCCGGCGACGCCAGGTGTTCTCTTGCTGGAGCCGATCACGCATTCGACAGGACTCCCGATAAACATGGCCAACAATCCCACGGAACTTCTGACCACGCACACTGAGCACACCACGCCTGCCTACCACACGCAAATCAGGTAAGACAAAATCTAGTCTTACAAATAAAAACTTAATAAATCATCAGAGATTATTATGAGATAAATTAGAACATCGCCAAATATTGAAGGAAACCAATTAAGAATTATTTTAAAAAGAAATGCGCCCCATTCAATCTAATGAGCTTCTGATTCTTTTTTCATGAACGTAAAACTTAGGAAATTATTGGAAAATAAATTAAGCATCAGAATAGGGAGAGGGAGAGACGTTTAAAAATCATTAAAGATAGCAAACATCATCTCCAGAAAGGATATTTTAATTCCTCGTCTCGTTGCGATGAATTTTTTAATGATTTTTAGCGTCTTTCGAGGCATTATTTTGTCGTGAATAAAAAAATCTTAAAATTATTAGACAATAAAGGAGTAAAAAGGAGAAGAAAAATTATCAGAGATGAGAGACACTGTCTCCAGAATAATTAGCCTCCCATGCACGATTCGCGACCCTTGATGATCTTAATGGGCCGGAAGTGACGTTCTTTTCTCTCTCGGCTCCACCGCGCCCCTCTATCGACGTACTACCGCACTACCAAACTGTTTACGATGATTCTCCGTGGTTACTGCCTGTTCGTGATACAGTGTAACTATTACGCATTAAAACTGTCTCTACCGCTGTTGACATTACGACATGCCGTCTGGTCTGCACACGTTACACGCTAATTCCCCAACGATTTCCTTTTGTTAAAAGAGAGATAATATATAAGTTAAACAATAGAGGTAAAGATGGTGAGCACCTATATTTAATAGGTGTTCACACCATATTAAATATAAATTCTAATTAATATTATATATGTATATATATATTTAATTATATTTGTATGTAACACGTATACATATAATTTTGATCCAAAATTTTTAAATTTTCTTACAAACTATGTATAAAATCTTCAGAATAATTTAGAATCACATAATATCAATGTCTTTTTCGAAATAATTCGGATATTGTGATAAAAATTATATTTATTCCAAAACTTCGTTATCCTATGTGGATGTTATCTCTTGCGTTTATTCTTTGCAGTATTATCTTAGTGTATCCTCATTCGGTCCTTATGTAATTCGCCGAAATGGACGCTGAAATTGAAGAAGAAGAAACGTCAAGAGAATCGGTTGAATTACTATATTCTGTTGTTGATTTAAACTTATCTCCTATGCAACTCTAAGGCCGCTATTTTATTCTTACGTTTTTGTCGTACGACAAATTTTTCAAGCCTGTTGATTGGCTATAGGATAGAGAGTCCTCTCACACATTTGTTGTACGATAAAAACGCACGAATGAAATAGCACCTAATCTCTTGACACTCGATTGATTGCACGGTTCTACAGCGCATTATGCTTATAAAAAATTAGCAAATAAAGAATATCACATTTTTTATCTGCAACGAATTTGATTTGCGGTGATGGGAGATTCAGGTTAATGGGGGTATTATGAGCGTTATTACTCAGTAGAATGTTACGTAAAATCGTGCATATGTCGTACGAAGTCTCTAATTGCTAATGCAAGCGAACATACGTCGTGTTTGCGACGAAATCTATCCGCATGGAATCATCGTATGTGTAAAATTCCTCAACGAATTTGTATAATTATAGATTTGTTGAGGAATTTGTGTATTCATATAATTCACAATATTGCAATCATACAAAAATTAATTTAAATTAAAATTTACATTTGCATAATTTTTATATATATTCCAGTGAATATTTTTGTGTTTATAGAAATTAATGGAAAAGTTAGCTTTATATACAAAGCTTCTCGTCAAATATTAAAAAATTTTAAGGATTTAATAGAATTTTTACTTCTTTTCTTCGCATGCGTGAAAGAGACAGACATGATTGATCGGTATTCATATAAGCTATTCATATGGCTATTCATATAAGTTTTATTGGACATTTTATCATACAATTTCAATAATGTAACGAGTCTAGGTATCGAAACTTTAAAAGTCGAGAAAATATAAAGAAAAACTTTGATCGGAAAAGTCCCGGTTTTGAATTTTCGTCGAGAAATCTGTAGACGAGAAGGAAATCTATATCTTCGGCACCTGTACATCCAGGATGCACCCTTCCACTCACCCTATCCACCAGCGTTACTATTACCCAATCGCGTTCTCACGTACACATCGCAGTTTCTTCATCCATTCATACACACGCCTTATATCTTCGCGGTGCATATAATCGGGTCCGAGCTCAAGTTAGTTCTCCACCGCCGCCATCGCCACCACCACCACCACCAGTACCACCACCATCTCAATGCACTAGCCTCGCCAAATCGCTGATACCAACGCAGCAGCGCGCCCGGTACCGGCACTCCGTTCCCGATGCGCGCGAGTATCGAAGAGAAGGGAGCAAGAAAGAAGGTGAGGGGCGCGAGAACGGAGGGCGGCAGAGATCGATATAGCGTGGGTGGATGTGCAGAGGTGCGGTGAGGCCGCTGCCGCCAGTCGTGCTGTCGGCTGCATCGACGGACATTCGCGCGCGCTCTCTTTTTCTCTCTCTCTCTCTGTCTCTCTGTCTCTCTCCATCTACGTAGTACCCCCTTCTCGTTGATCCGTCTCTTTTCCTCCTCCACTATATAGCTGCCTCCCTCGTTCTCTTCTGCCTTTTTCTCGAGCTCCTTTTCTCGAGCCCTTCGTGCCATCCCGCATGTCATCGAATGCAGCCGATCGCGAGCAACGTCGATCCTCAGGATCGCATCCCCGATGATACAGTGATAACGCGATCACAACAGTGTGATAAGGCCGATGATATGGCACAGTGAACAGTGCGGTGATTCCTGCGTGTATAGATCTCTATTGATTGGGATTAATCCGATCGGGCTCGACAAGTGAGTCAGGAGGATAAATCAAGATCCATCTCTCGATCATTTGATTTTTGAAATCGGTGTTCTTCCTCTCTCTCTCTCTCTCTCTCTCTCGCTCTCCCTCCCTCCCTCCCTTTTTCTCTTTATTCAACACGTGCGTGGGCGAGGATGCGTGTCACGCGCGATTTTTCTCGGGGCTGCGCTAGGAAAATTTACTGTAACTTGTTGTAATCCCCTAATGGCCACGCGATCTGACCGCAATCTGTGACGCAAAACGCGCGACGCGACCTCGCAAATAACGAATGCAGTGCTCTAGTGAAACCAGTGTTTTTCTTCTATTGCGTACTATTTTACATACTCCCCACGGAGTATGAAAATATAATCCTGAATCGCTGCAAGGTCCTTGTTGAATAAATGGAAATCGTAGGATGCCGATTGCGAAAGGCGACGAAGGACTTTAGACATGGTGCTCATGTGTCACCGTCGAATTTTTTACCTCTGTTTTTTTCGATATTTTATTTCTTAGTGATAATTTTATCGCAAATTGGTCTCTTATCTTCACAAAAAATTGATACGTAATTTTGTGCTTATTTGTAGGTACGTACAATGTTTAATTCTTGCAAATCGTCTTATATTGATAAAGAGACTGAAAAATATACGAATAAAAACTCACGCGCACGAATCGGTCCTCTTCGAAAAAAAGAAAAATAATAAACCGCTTGCAATTATTGACTTTTCCGCGTGCCATCTTGTTTTCATCTGTATATTTCTAGTCTATACTTACTACGCGTCTACACCATTTTCTCAGTTTTAGCTATGTTATATAAATTTTCTTATTTTTTGTATAATTTCGCAGCAACTACTTCAATATTCAATCATTCCAACCGAATGTATAATGTATCGTATTCGTGGTTAAAGGTCAATGCTCGACTCGTTTTTTAAATTGACTTCGAAATAAAAAAGCCGCAACTTTTACAAACATACTTTCCACTTCATATCGTAGAAGCTGCGAGGCTCGCGAAGCGAAATTTGGAGTAATCCAAATGCGTCCAAGTCGAAGCGGAGCATACCAAAAATTGTGACCGGAAGACTTTGTCTTCGGAAACCGTGACCTGCCTTAGAAAAGTTTAGAATCTTACGGGATACTCTCCGTCACGATCACCCAATTGTCTAATTAACCGTAGAAACATGAATTAACATATTAAACAGTCGCCAAGCGAACCTTGTTGATCTTGAATTATTAATCTAATCATATTAACTTCGTTCATCGTAAAATCACTGTATATTAACATATCATGATAATCTCTTCCGTGAAGAATTAATGAATTTTAAGAATTTATAAAAAATTATAAATTATTATTCATATTAATTTGAAGAAATTATTATTGATTTGTTACAGTAATGAATTTTATTTTACGAGTTAGCTCTTGAAGGCTTCTACAATTATGTTCAGAGTAACCTTTGGGCACGTAGTTTTATTGCATTTGCTTTCGAGCAACCATCTCACGTTCATAAAGACTAAAAGCATATTTACGAGGGCGTGTCGCGCGTAAAACGATGCAACGAGACTTATCTCGAAGAAGTGAGTAGGTTGAGACAATGGCGGCGATCGTGGCGTAAATTTTTCAACGGGTCTTCTTTCTCTCGTCGCATGTGTGAGAAAAACACGCCGTTTACCACAAACTGAGTAATAATAACTCATCCTCATAGATGTATGCGCACTTCAAGCGGCGCTCGTTAATAATAAATAGACTAATAAATAGATCAGAATGTATCTGTTAATATTCTCGCAAGCAATTGAGCTTTTTTTGATTACATATAGTACAACTTATATGTTAATTTAATTAAATTGCTTTATCATTATATTGACGAACCATCATTTTTGATTACTTAACGAGATCTTTTCAAACTGATTTTTTTAATTATATTGTCGAAATGTTTGACAGTTCCAAAATTAATCGGAATGGATTGACACGGCGCGGCGTGTAGTCGAGCAGTTGAGCCTCATGACATGATTTTTGCCCTCGACCTCCTCATCTGAATGACGCTCGCTCTCTATCTCGTTGATCTTCATTAAATTTCTTCACGAGAAATTTAGTCGTGCAGGTCCTCGCATTACCGTCAATTACCAATTACGCGTCGATAAATACAAATAAACGTTGCTAAATGGATTATATTGTTGCTATGA